ATAAAAGTAGAAAATCTCGTAGTGCTTTCGTTTTGTGAGTTTGATTAATGGCTGACATTTCACGTTTGCGATTTTTATCACGCATTGATATTTGGATTGATGTTCACGGCATATTATTGCTCTTTACATCGAGAAAAATGACTCAAGCTACAATTAGCCTCAAATGTTATGCATTTACTAACAAATGTGGATTAAAAGCATTCATGTGTATAGTTTTTTTTATTATATTATTATTATTGAGCTGAGAAGGACTGGAAGTGTTACAATGAATCTAATGTTTTCTTATTTCAGTGCTTAAATTCGTTTGATTTTGAAAGTGTAAATTATATATTCGTTTACTGTTTTCTTTAACTCCATACTTGACACATAGCATAAAAAATCACTAAATCATAATTTCATTCCATTTCTTCATGAACATAAAGCTTCACCATATATACAAATTTATCACATTTACTCTTAAAGTTTCAGTATTACTGTTTAGGAGCAGGATACTCTTATTCTTAATGATAATGCTCTTCTGTTCAGCCATTAGAGTTTTCTGAATTTATGAAATGCTCCTAAAATGTCATCTTTTTTACTATATGCATATGTTGTTCCACTAACATAGTTGAAAAAAAAAAAAAAGAAATACATGTTTTAAGGATAAGTTAATTATTCAGTAAAATATTACTAAGTCAAAAAATTTGTAAACAAGCAGCAGCAAAAATAAGACATGGAAATTGAAGTACCACAGTTATAGTTTTGATGAGTTAGTATCCAGTATATTTCTAGAATATTTGGTTGGTATGGAATGATTAAACCATCAAAATAAAATTTTAATTAATGCATGTTGCTGCACTCAATACTGGTTGAACATCCAAGACTTACAATAATAAATTTTAAAAGATGCTTATTAACACACTCAAGAATACATTCATCAACAAATGGCAAAGCATCACCAGCATACGTACAAACTTTTATTGAAGTTGGGTGAGGTAACGGTTATCATTTAGTTTTTGAAATATAAAATAAGGTAAAACATTTACCTGCGCACCGGTATCTAATTTGAAAGCAATTGGGAATACATTAACACTAATTTGTGGTAACCAACCAATTACACTAATTGTAGAAAGAATATAAGCAATAACTGGATGAGATAATTCAGAAAGCTTAATGGTGCTTTCTCAATGCTAGTTGTTTTTTGGGTTGCCTGAAAATACTTGAAAAATGATTCAGCATTGCATATTTATTACACGTTTCCTTGCACCAAGCAATGGGCTTTTTGTTGATGTTTTCAACCACAATGCAAACAAGGTCTTTGAATGCACTGCGAATAAGAATGGCTTTGGTTTTGCTATTTAAGTATGGCCCTGGCTCTATTTCTTAGAAAGTTGTTAGTCAGGCCGTTTATACCTCTCTTGTTACTAACAGCATCAATTAGAATGCTCAGAAGTAACACAACACATGTTTCATCCTCCTCCTTGTAATATTTCACAGCTGTTTAAGAATCTGTCATCTATATTCATAAAGTTCATAACTCCATCACCATTCTGAACCTGCCTCTATTGAGTTATCACCAGGAGAAAATGGTTCAATTTATAGCATATTTTGTACCATTGCTCACATTTACAAAATTGCCAAAGTTACGATTCAGCGATTAACAAATTGAAAAAGCTTGTCATTTCATTCTGACACCATGCTATATATATTGTTAAACCAGCATTATTGAAGCAAACAAAAGTCAGGCTAGATGCTTAAAATATGAGACTAGATGCTTAAGGATAAAAGTTAGATTAAGATTAGGCTACTAGATGCTTAATTGCTTAATTATTAAAAAAAGGTTACTTCTGTAGCATATTATTAAGTATAAAAACAAGCGAATATATAGTAGCAGCAACATGCATGCAGGATTACATAAGAAATGGAAGTTGTAGAACCATGGTTATAATTATAGCTTGTCATTATTAAGATTAAAATTACATAATACTTTTAAGGTAAAATTTCACTTCAGAAAACAGAAGGTGCATGGTGAGTACTTTGTTTGCAATGAGTTAGTTGTCAATAATTGCATTGTAAATAAATAAATAAAAACTTCTTTTTCTCTTTCAGAAACTAAGTTTGTAATGACAGGTATGAGCTGCTTAAAATCAAATATAATTACATTCAAATTTCTTTCCATAAATGAGCATTATTTTAATGGAAGCAAGTTAATATGTTCTAGTAATGGTTAGTTGAAACAAGTTAGTCCAAAAAGTAAATCCTTTGTACATGCACTGTGCATTTAATAGATCAATATGTTTTGCATGTCTTTGAGAAAGTGCTTTTCAGTACAGCAATCAACAGAATTATATTCCACAGATTGCACAAGTAAAAAAACAGTAAAAATCTGTATTCACAAAAAGTAGTATTTTAGTATTATTTCATCTTAATAACATTGTGCAAAGCATGATGATGCATGTCACACAATGACACATGGTCACATATCAATTTTATTTTTACTATGATTATATATAGCCAATGAGGATGTCAAAAGACTAGTTTGATATCTACTAAAAAAAAACAGTTCCAAGAAGAAATTATTTTTTCCATTTCTGACTTATGTAATGGGTAATTCTTGAATGTTAATATAAAAGGCAATAAGAGTATGATAAAATTTTATGAAAACATGGTTTGTACACAGGGAGCACTGGCCACTTTTTATGTAACACACACACAGTGATATAGCTATAGGGCTCTCCTCCTCAAGTGGCATATTTTTAGAGGTGGCAGTTAATGTTCATCTGAAATATACTATAACAGTCAGTCATATGGAGATTCAGAGCAGAAAGACAAATTGAGATTTACTGGATCGTAGCAAAGTTCACTACGATTGCTTATCTAACGGGCAAGATATCTCCATGGATGTAAAAACTTCTCCACAAAGAGCTTAAAAAAATTACAGCTGGCTCATATTTACATCATGTATGCATGAATATAATGTTACATATCTGATGCTACACAGAAGGTTACCAAATAAGGCAAGCCAGCCTGTGGTTTGAGATTTGACCCCAAGTTGGACAACCAGTATTCAGCCATCTTATCCAATCAGTCACTGGTGAGGTAAGAATCGTGAGATTCCATATTGTGATATAAAATTGAGGAGAGACTTGTTTTTATGCCGGGTAGAATGATGAAAGAAAGTACAACGAGACTTATAGATACACTTTCTTGCCATACCTTTTTACACACCATCAAAAAATTTGAATGGAAAATAGAAATGGTACTTATTATGATCGCACTGACATAAATAAGGAAGAGTTCCTTAGTGAAAGAGAAATATTCCAGAATTTATTTTATTACTGCTTGGGAATATGAAACTGAGAGATGGAAGGACAGTTGCTTTGAGCTTTTACAATTTATTCCAACATAGAGTCTCCTTGATGAAATTCCAAATATTATTTTGAATTTTCCTCACAATTATTTATTGTGAAAGGAGTTTTTCTATATATAATTTGGTTAAGAAAAACCTAAGAGTGAGTGTCTTGTAAGTAACAAATACTTTGCTGAATAGAGAAGAACAAGTGGAGTATGACACAATACTTTTTGTCACTGACGATGCTGCTAACAGATAAACAAGCAAAATAACAGTTTAAATGCTGGAATTAAAATTTTATTAAAAAATTTAACACAAACATTGTAGTTATTTCTTTATATGTCATTCAACATTTTATAGATTAGAATTTTTGTGGCACAAAAAGGTCTTTCACACAACTGCATATACAGGTGTTCATTAAAAACATTAAATCAAAGCAGCCAAATAATATTGACAAAAAACAGACTAGTACTCACCATCATATACGAGTTGAAATTAATGGAGACTAACATGCTAAAATTAATCATTAAAACGCTGTAAGAAGATAAGATTAAGAACATTTTTATTCAACTGACATGCAAGAACAAAATCAAAGAAGGGTTAAAAAGAGTTGGTTTAGAAAGTTTGCATATTTACTGTCTTACAGAAGGTTTATTTTGGTTTATGTGATTATAGCAAAGCACCTGAGCTATCTGCCTAAGCAGAAAGATGCTTTTGTGTAGGACTTTCTAAGAGAAACTGGTTCCCATATATGTACACTTGGGGAAAACCACAAAAATGGCCATGCAGCCAGGTCATTTACGGGATTCGAACCTTGGAACGAACTGCCAGTGTTCAGTGACTTTACCATTTGGCTTCTGTCTTGTCTTACAGGAGGAAAATATAATCAAATATAATTTGAACAGCATTAATCATTTTAATTATAACTGAAAAATGCAGTATAATAATCACAACATGTGATGCATTTCAATTCAGCAAGAGCTATTCCGACTAAAAGACACCATGCCATATTTCTGACATCCAATATCACTGTAGCTAAAATATTTATGTTATATCTCATTTTTAAAATGTTAACTGTACAGTAAGATTCGAATATACTGTAAACATGTCACTTTCACAAATCAGTTATTACCAGGCTGTGACTCTTAAGAGAGGCACTTACTTTGTATTATTATATATAATTAAAATAACATGTAAATTAACACAATAGATATAGGGTTTACTTTAACATGTTGCCTATTTAAACTAATAGAATAAAAAGCACCAAAGAGTTAAAAACATGAACATAATACAGAACATGAAAGCAGACGTAATTAGCAGCTGTTGAAGCTGCCTGTAAGAAATAATTTTTTTTATTTAAAAATTTCTTTACTGATTACCATGGCAGTTATTAACTAATAAATTACCTTTTCACACTATGAAGCTATGAAAATATCTATGTGACATATAAAATTTTAAATATATATATATATATATATATATTTGAGTAGATAAATAGACATCATATTCAGTAATAAAGAATTCAAAAAATCAAATACAAACAAAAAAAACAAAAAAAAGGAGGGGGAAGAAGGAAAAAAAATCTTGCTGAAATTTTAAACATTGATATAATCTAAATGACAATAACTTATCAAATGAATTATAATTAGTACATAAAAATAAAACTAACTTCATTTTGAAGATGTGCTTCTTTTTCAGCATACTCTTGTGCATATCGAGATTTGGAACCTTTTTCTGGTGTTTTCGTTAACAATTCTTCATATTCTTTTTCCAACCAAACAATTCTTGTTTCATGATCTTGAAGCTGTTCTCTCTACAAACAGAGAAAAAGAGAAAAAATAAATTTTTAAACTTTTGAAACTATGCTTTATTCTATTATTTATTATTTATTATAATCTATAAAATGTAACCCAATGTTCAAGCACACAGTCACAGCAAGACAGATTTCAGAAAATAGGAAAAGACAATTGTAAGACAAAGTTTAAAAGAATATATTAGTTGTGAACATATTATGTTTATCATTACATATTGTTGACAAAATATGTAACCATAACCAACATTTTAAAAGGTGTTGAAGAGAAGATACAATAAAGGATAAGTGTCAACAATAGGAAGAAATTATCTGGACATTTTATCACTGGCTTTAGGCTTTTATGTGATTGGTAATTCTTTTTATAATGTGAATGCATTTTAGCAATGAAGTATTTTACTATGATAGAAACACACATAGCTTGAGAGTAATGATATAGTTTTAAAGGAGGAGAATAAAATATTTAAGAAACTAAAAATGCTTAGATTTATGACATTTTGATCATAAAACTACTTTTTGCACATGCTTGTGAAAAATAGCCAACTCTGCACTGACCTTTCAGCGACTTCCGATTTTTTTTTTTTTTTTTTTTTTTTTTTTTAATGTGTAAAACAAACTTAGTTGCATTAACATTTGTCCTTTTTCATATTGCTATATTAATAGCTAACAATATAAAAGCATCCAATGAAGAAATATAAAAGCTTACATTGCAAGGAATATCTGATTTATTTTGACACACGCATACACACTTTTGCCCTTTTGATTTAAATGTTTCGAAACTGTATTTTTCCCCTTTTAAGTTCATAGTAAACTTTATTTATTTACTTATTTTAGTGTCTGCTCAAATAGATTAGAAGATTAATGAAGAAAAACCATTACTAAATATTTTCATTTTCTTTTAATTCAGAGAAATCTTATCATTATGTACACTGTAAGGGCAGGGAAGGAAGAAAAAAGAAAAGAAAGAAAAAAAAAAAAAAAAAAAAAGAGAGAGAGAGAGACAGCTTTATATCTCCCATTCTACTGGGCTGATTAACGAAATTCCACTTGTGTTTTTCATGTTTCGAAAGTGCGACTTAGGATATGTATTAGACATATATATAGCATTGCTCTAATATTGGTATTTTTACGTAAAATTGAACTTTCTCTGAAATGACATGCCACTTTTTTTTTCCATATTTCGATTCTAAATACAACTCAAATTATGCCAAACTGCAAAGTTTCGTAAAAATAACATGAGTAGTTTTTAAAAAATTAGCTCTCAAAATTTTAGCTGCTCAGTGTTAATTGAATATGATAAATATTTATTAATATCTCTTTTTCTATTAAACTTACTTGATTCTTTCTTCCAGAATTCGAAATTTAGGTTTATTTCAAATAAAATTCGGCCATATTTTATGATTTATTTTAAAATTTGTATTTTAAATACATTTTATAAATTTCCGAAAAAAATTTTCAATTATAACCTAAAAAATTTTTAACATCATCTTAAAGTAGATCTATTTCTAAGTACACCTGCAAAAAATTAGTTTTCATTCACAATTTCCAAGGATATACGTAAATTTACATATTGGCGCATTTTGAAATTTGGCATATTTGTTATAAGTGATAATAACGCCAAACATAGTTTAAGCACGTTGTTGAAATTATTAGAAATAATAAATGATGACTTTTTCCCTGCTCCTTTAAAATTAAAAAAAAAAAAAAAAAAGAAAGAAAATATGTTGCAATAAATTGAGAAGTTTGCCAAATGAATTATTCTTGGCGCAAACTGGAAAAATTTGCAAAGATAAATTTTTGAATTTCTCCGTAAATTTCACACCAAAGTTTACAAAATTTAATATTAAGGCACAGTTTGAGTCGTAGAATCGAAATGTGAAAAAAGGTGGCATGTCATTTCAGAAAAGGTCCCATTTTATGTTAAAATATCTATATTAGAATGTTATATATAAATCTAACATATATCTTAAGTCGCACTTTCGAGACATGAAAAACAAAATTTGAATTTCGTCAATCCACCCAGTAGAACAGGAGATATTGAACTGTACCCACTTTTTTTTTTTTTTTTAGCTCAGTATACCTTTTTAATCCCTACTGCAAATTAATGCAATTTAAAAAAAGGTTTAAATGCTAAATTTTAATTTCCATTTAACATTGAGTTATGTTGTTCATGAAAATCTGATAAATGATATCTTAATATTATACTTATTGCTTCCAAACATTTCCAGGAACTAAGAAAATAAACAGTAAGAAGAATTAACTTTTCATATTTCTTGAATTTTTTGTTTCACATTTGGAACTAGAAAACCTTTCAAAGAGTTGGGTGAATATATATAAATAAGGTAACTAATGTGAGAAAAATAAAATAATAATAAAAATTGAAAATTCTCCTTTCCCTTTAATACCTCTAGATGGTTTAGCACCTTTACATACTGTTTATAGGAAGTAGTGAATATAAGTAAGATATGTAAGCAGAGTAACAAAATTCAAAATAATAATCTTCTGTCATGAAGCAAAGAGAAATGAAATAAATTTAAAGTTTTAAGTTGAGCGAGCTGATCAAAAATGCTAAACAAAATTAACCAACAAAAGAAGTTACATGCCAGTATACACTAAACATAATAGCAAAATTAAAACCAGCAATATATAAAAGGAGAGAAGTCAGATACCTCTAAGGCAAAGTAGATAAGTAGAATATTGCAACCAAAATTAACAAAAGCAAGAAACAAACCAAAAAATAATTAAAATTAAGTAACAGATGAGTGACAAATGGACATACATTAGGTTATTATATTAAGTTTAGAGATGAATCAATAATCTAACCAATTAGGACAGCAACTTTCAACTAGCCATTATTAACAAGTAAATAAATTATGTAGAAATGGACTGCTAAATAACTTAAAATAAGTTGCAGTAAATTTAAGCAAAAATATAGGAAAAATTACATGCAGTTGAAGACAAGTATTATCTAACATATATTATTATTGATATTTAGCTAAATTTATTCTAATTCTGATTCATTTACCAATGTAATATATGTAATTTACTGAATTATTGTTCATGAAAATTTATCAGATAACTGAATGGACAATTGTGCTTATCAAAAGTTTCCAGTCAAAATACTAGATGCCATCCTAGAATCTCTTGTATTCAACATTAGTGTTTTTATTAAATGCTTGTGTTTTGCATTGTCTTACTGATGCTGCACTTGAGTTTCTTTCAACGATATTTGATTAAAAGGTTTATTATGTATTTCTTGATTCAGTTTTGATAATAGATTTGATATACGTTGGCATATAATTTACAGACTTAAGACTATTTTGTTATCTTTTTATTACTTTAGATGTAGCAAAATCTAACTTTATTTAATCTTTTATTTCTTCTGCATAACAAAGGGTCATTAGTCAAATATTATGATATTTAATTTAGAAACTATATACTAATAAATAAATAAAACAGTACAAAGTCTGAAATCCGGACATCCATTATCCAGAATGATCTAAAATCCAGACCTCAAAACCACCAACAACGTTTTCTCATAGGCTTTACGCATGCACGCATTTGATTTCCTCCTCCAAGCATCATAAAACATCAGGACAGTCCCGATTCTTAATTTCAATGCAACACTAAATACAATACCTTGTTATTGAAGAAACAATCATTTTAACATAAATTTGTACGATCAGTAATTTGGCTCTGTTGTTGCGTATCTACTTGGCACACATCGCAAACCAAAACCTTCGGCTTTACCATAATTTACACTAAAGCTAATCTGATGCATTGCTACATCGTTGATCTGATGGTAAACTGGCGAATCCTTATTTATTATACTTTCCTTCATCACCGCATGTTTATTAAAACATGACAACTTTAGTAATGATTCATGTAGTGATGCCTAAACAGTTTTTAAGTTAGTAATTGAATAATAAAGGAGTATGGTAATCTTTTATGTTGATATTACACTTGGCAATGATTACAGATTTAAGTTAAATGTGCTAAAAACGAGGAAAAATTTACCAAAAATTTCTTTCCCAAATGCTAAATATAGATTTTGATTATGATACTCATCAATTACATTTAGAGCTATTTGAATTCAGAATAACTGTTTTGTTATTCACATAAACCCAGCGCGAGGGCTCGTATGGCCGCTCGGAGTCGCAGAATTTATGACTCAGAGAGACTGCATCAAGCAGTAAGATATCTAGTGCCCGCCCTCATTAAGGCTTAAGTATATGTGAGAATTTATTTATTCAGAACTTTGATAAGCCTTAAGCATGTGCAAGAAATAGGTATAAGTATAAAAAAATAACTAAACTAATACAATTCAGGCTTAATTGTCTCAGTGTGCGATAGAAGCAAGATAAAATTTAACGGAACATTTTGTCCTTAGTCGCCAAGCCATGATGCATAGCCAAATATGTACAGTTAAGGATACCTAAATTTGATGATGATAGCGGCTAATTTTAAAGGTTTTTCGTATATCACAAAACAAAGACCAAATTTTCCAATTAACGGATTTTGTAAAGAAATGTGGAGAAGTGTAATAAATGAAGATGATATAAAAGAAGTTTTCCATTGTGATGATAATGCTTCTGAATCATCAATCAAGCAATGAATGGCCAAATCTGTAGTATAGTTCTAGATCCAGAAAATACCACTACTGATAGCGAAGAAAGTAACAGAGAAGTTACTGAAAACGAGGACAAGTTAGTCGGAATTCTCGAAATAGCAGTTACAGGACTTCAATAATGTAACTAAACAAGAGATTATATCTGTCTTCAGAATTAAAGAGAAAGTATTAGCATAAAAAACAAAGCAACTTAAAGAACTTACATTGAAAGAAATGTTTAATAAGGTAAATAAATAAATATCAAGCATTTTTTTGTAAATTTTGATGCCCTTTAGATCATAAATACTTCATTATTTCATAAATCACGATTTCATATTTTTTATTTTATAATTTCTACATGCCATCTTCCTAGATTTAAACTGATGATCTAATATCCGGAAAAATCCCAAATGCGGTCTCGCCGAAGTCCCGACGAGTCCGGATTTCGGACTTTGTACTGTACTAGTATTTAATTATAAACTTATTATTAACACTAATGTATATTATTTTATTATTGAGACCAATACATAAATATTATATATATATATATATATATATAATAACAAAATAATTCTTTCAAAAACAAAATATAAACATGCCTAGTATTTTCACACATTAAGCTGCGGAAAATTATCATTAAAGACACAAAGTAAGAAATTTAGAACTAATTTTTCAAAAACCAAAAATTGAAGTTCATAATTAATAAATTTCAAATAATCTTATAAATGCAACAAACAATTTAAAAAATATCAAAACCAAAACTATTTGACACAAACAAGTCCCATTTAAAAAATTAATGAAATTTAAAGAAAAATGAACAAAAACAGAAGAGGAATTCAATCAACTTCAATGCTACCAATTTCTTGCTTTAAGTCTTTATAATATATATATATATATATACATGTAAGATAAAAAAATTATGAATCAAAATTATAATTTAATCTAATGGTAACTCTTTAATTTTCTCTCTCTGTTATAAAAATCGTAATAACATCTCTCGATTGCATCATTTCTAGATCTTTCCTTTTTGCATGGCCTGTGCAGCACTGATGACATAAAGCTGATGATTGTGAACTGAAACTTTTAACTCAAACCGAAACCTTTCTCTTCATGTGCTTCTATCTTGCATAGCTACACACTTCAGTTTCGCTCTCTATCCTGCTAGGATGTAACTTCAATGTCTTGCTTGGTGTTGCAATAATATCAAAAATGTAAATGTTCTGTAAAAAGGCACGACTAGAGTGCCAAGTGATTGTGACCACAAGTGTCAACTGGAAAATAAAAACGGAATTAAAACCGCCTCAACTGCCAAGTTCTTTAGATATTACCAAGTCAACATATTAGCATATTACGCAATCAGAATTCTTCCTCTTCAATATGGATCTACATATGCAACAACTTTAAAGGAGAAACAAAAAATATTCAATTAGATCTGATATACAATACATAAAATAATTCACTAAAATTAATAAAATTGATATAAAATATATAAAACATAATGTTGAAAATTCCTTGGTCTTTTTTAAGAAGCAGTCAGTTTTAAGAAGAAGAATTTTCAACAGAGCCATATTTCTGAATTATAACTTGTGATTACGAATAATGGAAATTTTTTAGGATAAATATTGAAAAAGAAATCCCAGATAAGATAATTTAACTAAAATTAAAATAATCAAAATGTTTTAAAGGTGATAAAAAATGAAACCTCTTTAAAAATTTTGCATTGGGGAAAACTTTTCATGATGGCTTGCATATTAATGCTCATCTCTGAATCTATTTCCGACAATGCCTTTTTAAGAGAATATTATATTTTTATTTGGATACTAATTTAAATATTGCTCTCTGCTATTTTAATATGACTCCTGGATTTTCAAGAAAAGTTACCTGAAAGTTTAAAATAAATACCTTGGTCAGCTTTTCTCCTACATGAGTCACAATGTTTGTTCTTAATTTTTTCTTATAGTGAGTAAAAAATTTTATTCACTATAAAAAATAAAGTATAATGTATAATAATAATAATAATAATTACGTGTAATGTATTAAGAATAATGTATAAAAGTTTAGATTTCACAATTTTTATAAAAATTGATTTCTTTAAATTGAAATTTGCCAAAACGTGCAAATTTGTTTCATTTAAAACATTCGGGTAACTGGAAATATATGTCTACAAACAAGGGTTGGAAAATAAATGTCAGGAAGTACTTTATTGGACATGGTATCTGTCTGTCTATATACAATTTCTGGGCAAAATGCAAAATATAAATGCAGAAAACAAAATAAATGTGCATGAAGGAAAAAATATAATACAAATTTAAAATAATAATATCATATAGATATATATATATATATAAAGAAAACCTCAAAGTGTGTGTGGGGGGGAACACCAATGTAAAATTTAAAATTAGACCCCCCCCAAAAGAAATCCTTAATTTGGCATAAATTGTGAAGAATATCTAATTTCAATATACTTTTTTTGTTGCTGAGGCAGAGAGAACTTTAATTAATTGCCCTCAAATTTGATTGACTTGAATCAAAATCTACACCATTAGGTTGCATTATTTACGTAATAAAAAATATGTCAATAGAATGAGAATACATACAGAATAAATACATTATTAGAAACTAAATTTTGATAATAAAAGAAAATAAATATAATTTGAAATAAAGTTTGATACCAAGTTCAGTTTTGTATGGCTGACAGGTAATAAAGGCCTCTGGAATTTTCGCTGGCATCCCACTCCACTTGGCAAAGGAGGGGATGATAAACTAGCTGCCACAAGATTTATAGTGTCCACCCAGCTTTCCAGTTCCTTTGAATCACTAAAAATTAGAAAAAAAAAAAAAAAAACTGAAAATTGTCTCTTTCAAACTAATTTAGGTGATAAAAAATTATAAAAAATGAAAAGCCAGACATTGGTTTTTCTAACAAAGAGGCACAGTAAAATGGTATTTAGTAGAAGAATAAAGTTTAAGGATGAAAGTTGGTATAAAGTTTAAGGATGAAAGTTGGTGTATTTGTAGATTACACAATTATTTATCATGCTTATATATCATGCACTTCCTATTAGACATCTTTTAAAAAGGGGCACAACAGGGGAAAGAGAAGATTAATTTCTTACTTCTTTCTCTCTCTCTATATATATATGGTATATATACACATTATTAAGAAACAAACTGTGACTAAAATAAAGCCAAAAATAAGAATACTCAGTAAACATTTTAGAAAATAGATACCCTGTTAAATATTTAAACTGAAAAATTTTGCAGTTCCAATGTAAATATTTGATGACTCTATAATTTTTATGAATTCCCATAATAAATGTTATATAGTACCACTCCTCAAAATAATGTACCAAATTAAAATTAAAACACATAATTGATAATTTTCAAACAGTTACATCTTCAGTTATAAACAATTTACAAGGAAAAAATAAAATAATTTAGACAAGTAGCAAATAGAATACTGAGTAATTACATACAAGTAATAAAAATGTAACTATTGCAAAGTCAATAAAGAAGTAAACAAAGTACAGTAGAGTCCCGCATACTTGACTACCAATATCTTGATGTTGCATACAATTCAACAACATTTGGGAACTTTTTTAAGATAGATTATATAAATACACTGCATGGTCTGCAGTATGTAACCTAAAAACATACTGCTTCTTTGTGTAATCAGTTGCCTTTTCAGCAAAAGCATGATGAATTCTAATAGAATTATGCAAACTATCATACAGTTGATTTTTCTTAAATCCATGTTCATCCTAGGAAGAAATAAGAGAGAATATTATATCTCTTTAATATCTTTTTATCTTTTTAAGATATCTTTTTATCTTTTTAAGATAAGATTTAAGAACTTTTTTAAGCCAAACAAAGCAAATATTGCATACAGTACATATAATTAATATTTATGTGAATGTGTTTCCTGTTCTGTTTAAAGAAGTGAGTGTTCTTTTTCTGTAATTTTTGCCGTTTGCAGAGAAGAGCCAGAAAATTGTGAAATAGTTGATTTATTTAAGAAAATTCAATGCTGCAAAGAAGTTAGTGATGGTGATGTTGAAAAATGTATGGGACAAGAGAAAATTGTAAAATTTTAGGACATGCAGAAATAGTTGCACAGGTGAAAGGCAGTGTGGATAAAAATTAAGATGAATCAGAAAATGAAGAGATTGAAGAAAACGAGAAAGCTAAAGTGATGGCCCATAGTGAAGGACTGAAGGCCCTGAAGGAATATTTTGTTATATGGAGGAGCAAGGTGCATCTGGTATGGACATTTAGTTCCTCCACTGCCTATAGGATGAAGCTTAATGATAACGAAATAAGTGTGAGAGATAATCTACCATCACATGATATTTTTTACAGAGAACTACTACTAATAATTTTTGTTCATTTTTATATGTATTTTTTTACTCAATTATCTTTTGGTATTTCATCTTTTTATGATTTCTATTGTGCTACAACTTAACATAAAAGAAATCAAAATTAATTTAATTGTATGCTGTACTTTCCCATGCCTGATATTGTGATACAAGTGTCTAAAATGATTTATAGTTACATATTAAGAGTTCTGAAAAACCCGCCCCTTACTTCGTAAAACTCAAGTCTCTCAGTCCACGTTATGTTGAGTTTGTGGGACTCTACTGTACAACAATATAGTGCCATTAACTAAATAGAAGCAAACAATACATAGAATTGAATGAAGAGGAACCCCAAACTACTATATTGAATAATTTATTAGTATTTCCTTCATAAAGAGGCTAAAAAAAATTGCATTTAGTTAGTTTAAGCATGGAAAACTATGACTTAAGAGCTAGGTAAAGTACCTTGTTTGAAATAAATACACTGCATGGTCTGCAGTATGTAACCTAAAAACATACTGCTTCTTTGTGTAATCAGTTGCCTTTTCAGCAAAAGCATGATGAATTCTAATAGAATTATGCAAACTATCATACAGTTGATTTTTCTTAAATCCATGTTCATCCTAGGAAGAAATAAGAGAGAATATTTTCACATTTATGCCCTAAATATATATAAAAAGCATATTAACACACGAGAAAAATATATTTTCTTACCTTGTGTAGATATAACACTAAATCTCGCAATGTTGCATACAGCATTTTCCAACTTCTGCGACCCAGAGGTGCTAATTAAATTACATATTATGAACATCTGATACACTTTTAATCAAAAATATATATCATATGTAAAATTGTGTATAATTTTAGATAATAAGAAATAAGAATGGCATAAAACATAGAACATCATTACCTATCTAGTCTAAACAGCAAAATTTAGTTTTACAAGAAAATCAGAATCATACTGTGTGTTGAATTACAATAACAGCAAAGTTTTCATAATTTTTATTTACTAATCTAATTAAGACAAGATTTCTTAACCCCTAAATTAGAGAAACTTCTAAATATTGAAAGTGATACCAGAAAGACAAAAATACTTAATTTATACACAGACATATAAAAACAATTTACATTTAATGAAAACCTACTATAAGAAATAAATGCAAAAATTATTGCTCAGCATAAAACCATCCTTCTTACTTCTAACACTTCAAAGAAGTAAGGCTGCTGTATTATCAAAGAGGTCAATTTTTATGAAGGTATTTTTTTAAAGAAAGATCACACACTCACATAATTTAAGATTATTAGGCATTAAAACTTGAATTGTATGAAACTACCTGACATCAGAAAGCATTTTCAGTTGCACTAACTGCTCTACTTTACTACCAACTTTCTCAGAGCAATCTTAATGTAGATGAATATCCAACAGAAATTTTTGTCTAAATTTAGCTGTAAACATTTAAAAATATTTATGAGTGATGAATCTTAAGAGTAATATTTCTTTTCTATAAAACTGAAATATAATTCAAAATTCTGATGATATAAATAGTTGCAGATATCAGTGCTAGCAATTCTAATTTTTAACAGACTTCTTTATTTTTTATACTAATGTATTAATTTAATTAATGTATAAATCTTTCTGTTCTAGTTAAGGACCCTAATTCAATCCATCTTTGCCTTCAGCCTTTAAAGAAATTATGTTTTAATTTTGGTTTCATCAACAGATGGCACCAAAGGCTTATCTCCTGTCTATGCTTTCTTATCTTATCTAATCATTATACCTTATCTCATTCATTTGCGCTTTTGCAGCTAAGGATGATGGTTCGGTAAAACCATGGAAACTAGTCCTGTGAAAATTTTAAAATATAATGCTGATTTTTGTTGTTTGACTTCTAAATTAATATCATATGTTGTTTTTCACAGCACTGGTATTCATGATTATTGCTAATCAGATACCGCTTAGCTTTAACTCATTTACTTCATTACCAAATAACATTTCAGATTTTAGTTGCACATAGTAACATAAAAGTCAATCTCTTATTTCTCTCAACTGAAGGAAAAATTACCTATAATTAGTATATTACTTACTCTTCTTCCCACTTGGATCCACACAACATTTACGCATAACATACCCCTTTTTATACTCTGTAGCACAATTAGGGTTAGGAACCTTAAAAAAAGATATTAAAATATGATTAGGTAACAAATGCTTTATTATATTTCATTATTTATCATTACTAGCAAGTTTAGCTTTATGGTAAATTTTATTAAGCTAATTGAATGATTTAAAATACTTCAACATGCAGGATGCAATTAACCATACATAAATATCTAATGTGATATTAATTATTCATGATATAATTAACCACACATACATCTATATATGCAAAGCTCAAAATCCAGACTTCCAATATCCAGACCACCAGCAAACTTTTATTCAGAATTAAAAATAAATAAATAAATAAATAAATAAATTAGAAGAATGGAGAATATAATACTCAAGAAAAGCAGGTATTATATAAAAGCAATGTTTTCTTTGGCCAACTGAAATTCCTGCATATCACTTTCAAACACCTTCTGGTCAGAGAATCACACCTTGGCCATGATCACAACACTTTCAAATCTTGACTTGTTATGGGGAAGTTAGCATTTGTTAATCTGAGATGAACAATAAGTGAAACCCTAAGACATATTTCTTTAGAGTAGAATGCTGCTTATACCGGTTTTTTTTTCTTTCGTTTTTTTTTGGGGGGGGCACAGCAGTGGAGAAAGATTCTTAAGAAAGTCAACATTGCAAATTTTGCTCTTCCTTAACTTTCTGATTTGATCAAGCTTATTATTTTTTAGGCCATTATTAGTGTAAGCAAGTTATCAAAATTAAAGTTAGAATTTTCAATTACACTGAAATAATTTTTAATTCTGGAGCTGCAGCAGGATGTGCAAAGCATGTTTCAGTGCCAAGCAAGCAAAATGTGGAACTGCTGGAAAAAAGGGATAAAGTTCTCAAAATTATGTGAGTAGTAGTATGACATAGAAAAGTCAACAGTATATGACATAATAAATCTAAAAAAAGAACTTCTTGAATTTTTTGTAGATTCTGATACATAACTAGCAATGAGTAACAGAAAAATCATTCCTTACGCTAAAAGTGAGGATCATGCAAAGTGAAGATTCAATGGATGAGAGAATGTCATAGTGAGGGTATGTCAATAAGGGGTAAACTACTGATTGCTTCAATGCTAATAGCTGAAGCCAAAATATTTCACGAAGATTGACTTAAATCGGAGTGCACATATTCAGCAGCTAGGTTAACCAAATTTAGAAAACTGCCATGGCATAAGGCAGTTAAAAATATCAGGCAAAATAGCTTATACTGAAGCAACTGAACAATTTGCTGATAAATTCATCAAAATTCATTAATAGTAAAATGCTATCCCCAGACAGAATTTATAATGCTGACCTTTCTGGCAATATGCAACCCAAGTGTATTGGAAAATTCTGCAGAATGGCACCAAATGAAGACAAACACTCCAAAGCAAGACTAATGATTTTGGACATGTGCAAATGCTGCAGAAAGGCACAAATGCTAGCTTTTCATAATTAGAAAAAAATGTAGTAGAACCTTAATCATTTAAAGGCGTAAATATTTTCTCTGTTATCTATCATTCAAACATATGAGTATGGATGAAAGAATCATTAATGGATATTTGATTTTTAAAATCATTTCATACCCAAGGCTTGGCTTGTTTATGGCATGATGCAAAAAATTGTACTGATTATGAAGAACTGTTTAGCTCATACTTCACTTAAAGTTTTGAGTAAAAGATAACATCTAAATCTTACACTTTTCTCCAAACTGTACACTTATCATTCAGCCAATGGATGCTGGAGTGCAACACATGCTGAAATATAGATACAATGCAGCCTTTTTTAAATCATTGCTAAATTTTTGTTTCACAGTGGAAGAATCATTCAAGAATTAAACATTTTAACATAAAAGGTACGTTGCAAGTTCACAGAAGGATGTGTCTGCAGCTATTTTTAAAATGCTTAATATAATTTATGGCCAGTTAGCATAATTCATGGTGATGATGATAGCCACAAATTAATAGGTTTTCAATATCACAAACAAATAGTGAAGTTTTCAAATTTATGGAATTTATGAAGAAATGCAAAGAAGAAATAACAGAGTTCTCTACTGTGATGATAATGTCCCAACTACCAATCGTGTATCCTAGTTTTAAATCAAGAAAATATTGATAATGGAGAAATTAGAAAACAGGCTGCTGAAAAATAAAACATTTTGATTGCCAATTTAGTGGGAATTCGCTTCGAGGTGCACTGGCTCTTGTCTAGATGCACCTATGTACCAAATTTCGTAGCTGTGGGTCTATTATCTTATGCACAGCGCGAACGAAAGACACACACACACAGACTCTTTGCTTTATTATATGTAGAGATGACCAACTTTTTCATTCATCATTTTAGCTTTATTTATAAAATATCACTTTCTTTGCACTTATGTCACATAAAATGACAACAAAATTCCAAAATCTTTAAAACCAGCATATCTTTAGAGTTCCAAACAGACTGTTCATTGTTGTTATACACTTTTTTTTTTTTCATATTGACTACATTATATATATTTGCTGTATTATTTGTATACAAACAATATATAGTGATAAAATTCCATAGCAACATTTTTTTTATTGAAAAGTGATTAGACACAAAAGTGAAACAAACAAAAAATCAAGGATTGAGGAAAACACATTTAATTGCTTCTTAATGAAAAGCTCATCTTCAAAATGAATTTCTTCTTCTTACAATTAGCATAATTTTAAGAATACATCTAATGCTCATAATTATAATATATTCTATTAAATCACACAGAAAAAATTTTAAATTTCAGAAGTTATGAATTATGTCCTAACATATTTTTTCATTAAAATCAGCTCAGAGCTTCAAGTAAAGAATAATTTTCCATTAATAATTTTAGCCAATATCTAATATGATGTTCCCACTGATATAAAAACCTTAAAAAATAAAAGTGGAAAGTTTTGGATTATATTTTAAAACAGTTTTCATTAAAAACTAGCGGGCAAGCCCACCAGCTGAGCGGGTGTCCAGTTTCATCCCTAATCTAATCAACTCTTCCTATGAATGAAGAAAGCTTAAATATGGAAAATAAAAATTTTCAGAAATTTCATGTTAGATGAAACGTTCATGGATAAAAAAATCTTCATGCAAATACAGACATACATACAGACAGAAAGAACATAATATGTACATAATTTTACATACAGATTTTATTTTAAATACAGTAAAAACATGTTCTGGGGACCCTAGTTCATGCTTATTCACTGAAGTAGTTGTTATGCAGGGGCTAGTTCATTCCTTTGTCTGAATCTTCGTCGATGCGATCCTCGTAGGGAATTAAAAGGAACTAATCTGATGTGACTATGCTGCATCTGATTTCACCTGTTAAAAACCTTTACACTTTACTAGTTTACTAGTTTCATTTACTAGTTTCATATTATTTTACTAGTTTCATTCCGCTATGAAGCGATGCTTTAGCAATGTGGATATCCTAAATTAATTGTAATCACACATATTGCTCTCTAGTAATGCAGTGTTAAAGTGGTGGCCCATGGACCGTATGTGACCCTCAAAGTAATTTTATACTGCCTGGGAATACACTTCTTGTAAAGTAATTAGCATTGTTATGACAAGAATCTGAAGAAAAAGTTTAAGATTTATTAGTGTCCAGTCTTACGTTATTTTGATTACCAAAAAGGAATGTAACTCTTCAGAAAATCTAGAACTAGAGCTAATTAATTTACATTGTGATATAAATCTTGTTCAGAGACTTTAAGATACTAATTTCATTAACTTTTATTAGTACTAGTCAAAAGATAAATATCATAAGTTAACAATTTTGCAATAAGAATACAAGATTTCTTTTTAGTACATTTACATGAGAACTGTTTTTTTTTTGGGGGGGGGTAGTAGAAAATTAAGAAGTCTATGAAAACAACCAGACTGCTAATGAGTATTTACATATTGTGACAATATTTTCAGTAATTTCCAAGATCACAAATTTCATGAAAATCGAAACGCCATGAGGTGTTGTAGCTCAAAGGTGTAGTAAAAAACAAAGATGTTTACAATAATTTACATAAAAATCTTATTTTTTCTGTTTTACATTAGAGAAAAATCTAGTAAATAAAAGAAATAGAATAGGTTGCCATTACTCATTCTCAAGTTTTTGTTCTTCTGGGAAGCTTATATATTTCCTTTTCATATTTTCCTTTTTCATATATTTAAATTAAAAATAAGTTGCTTAGTAGTTCAATATATAACAATTAGTTGAAAATTTCTGAAAATAGTATGAAAAATTTTAATATTTAGCTGTCTGTCTGAATTCTAAATTGTGACCAACAGAAATTTCTTGCAGGCAACATTTAGATGTCAGGCAAAATATAAGCATAAATTTCATATTTTTATTTGTATGTTCTAACAAATATCTAGTAAATAGTTTTTAATTAATTAACAAAATTTAAAAAAAATCATGTCCACTCCCTTTTTTTAATGCTGTCCATAAGTTACTTTCAACTTGTGCATTGGTCTGTGTGCAATGTAAGTTTGAAAGCACTTCTGTAAAGTATCATTTATGTAACATGTCTTCTCTTGCATTGTAGCAAAGTGCCATAAAATTCATGAAAATGGGAAAAATAGGGATATTGTATTTCATATTTTTCTAACAGATAATTTGCTTTTGGAGAAGAAAATGGATACATGTGTCGAAGACAGGCTTCTATTAATATGAAGAATGCAAGAATTTGCAGCAAACATTTTATATGTAGTGATTATGAAGATGACATGAAAAATTGCTTGTTTGGTTTGACACAAATAATAATAATAATAATAATAATAATAACGCAGAGTGCTTTTGCAAGACTACACGAATTAGTTTGAAGAAAATTCTGAGGACAATTACAAAAATGATGCTAGAATAATAAATCAGAATATGAATGATTTTACTATACAACACCAGATACAAATGATTTTAAAATAGAACTCACAAAGGATGATGCAAATATTGTTGAATGCCTTAACTGTAAAAATAAACAAGAATACAATGGTAATTTGTACAAAACAAAGCTAGCTCAG